AGATGAGATTGGAACCTCTCAGTTTCCCACCACTGGTTCAAGCAAGTGTCCCTGGATTAGAGAGCATTTCAAAAGCATGTGGCCCTGTCAGAAACAAATCAGAGGCTTTATAGCCATAAACCAGCTCTAAACTCATTTAAATGAAGTTGTGAAACTTCAGCTCTGAAGCTCTAAACATAAAACCATTGTTAGAATTACTTAGTTTTTGCAGATAAGGGACACAGTTACTATCTTCTGAAAGAAGCACCTTATTCCATAGTCAATATTATAGGCCTAAATAGCAAGAATATTCCAGTTTTTCAACAGTAGCAAACATTTTAAACTTCATGTTAAAGCTTTTCTTTTTTTTTTTTTAAGTTCTTATGACATCAGATTCTCCCAGGATTGTGCTCTTCATGGATGATGCGCTGACTAGTCAGCTGGATTTGTTTTTGCAGCTGACATGGTGGATTTCCTGCCCTTGATACAATTGTTATGTGTCAGCAGAAAGCAGATGACATCAGCTACAATTGCTTTATGACACTACTGTAGATGAATTTCTGAGAACAACTTCAGGTTACTTTCTTGCCTCTGACTCTAAATTTATGATATTCTTAAAAAAATCATGGAAGCATGTAGGATGAATTCTACAGAAAATCACAACTAAAAAGATTGATTAGTCAGAAAAAAAATAACAAAACAAGCCAATCATAACCAAAGATGAACATCTTAACAGGTCTGAAGGAGATTAATAACTTTTACAAGTTCTAATGACATCATACTTGGATGGAGTAAACTCATTTAGTCACTAAAGGACATCTGATTTGTGTATGACCATGAAGCAGCCCTCCTTTTCTATCTTGAGAGTTTGGCTTGGAAGTAAAATTAGTATGTCTCTTTGGTTTTTAATAGCAGCTTTAAGAAGAATGCACCACTTAATTAAAATTATAAAATAAATCAGGCCTGTGGAAAAAAAAAAGTCACCTATCCCTCTGTTTTATTTAAATCCAGTTAAACATTTTCCATGAATTTTCAAATTGAGTGATTTGTTTCACAAGACTTCCTATTCTTCTTCAACTGAGTAAAGAGGACATTCACACTGGCAAAATCTTGACTTTTCTTTAGGAAAATGTATTACTTAAAAATCTGCATTTCAAAATGACACATTAAAAAGCTAACAACAATAAAATGATCCACAACAATATTTGAATACTAATGAAAAAATAGCAATTCTTCAACTTTTCTATGTTTAATTGAATCAGCTATTTCAGTGTATTGTGGGAATAAATTTATCAGAATCAATAGAGACCAAATGTTAATTATGAAGGCCAAGCACAAATGAATAATCTTACGTATAGACCCTGACACATTGGAACTGCAAAGCACTCTGCAGATCTTATTTTATGAAAATGTACTAAGAGCGCAAATGTATAGGCCCTTAGGAAGCAATTATCCCTAAAAGATTTAGCTATAATTCAATCTGAAATATTATAAGAGATTTTTTAAAAACGGTTTCACAAAGAGGAGGATTATTTTACTTTAACTATGGAAATAGGGAGCCACATGCTTCTCTGAATGACCTCTGTGCAGTTGTGGGCATTGCCTGCAGGGAAGATTTGAAATTGGCCTTTTCGTTCAATTAATAGAATCCCCTGTGACCAGTAAGGGTATTACAAAAATTAGGAGTACCAGTTTGGCTTTGTGGGATTGAACGGCCCATGTCACTATAAGGAATGTTCTGTGCAATAAATACATTAAACATGGAAATTTAAAATCACGTACTACCAATATGTGTGACAGAGATTAGTTAAGAAGAGCTATCTTGCCAAAGACATGCAGATGTTATATTGCACAATAAGATGAAATGGCACGGTATAGGTCTATACAACATGCCTTAGGTGTGATAGGTTTAATTTGTCACATGATCCTCAGGTGTGACATGAGATCTAAATGTATAAAAACAAAAGCATGCAAGAGTGCTTACAGTATCTTTGTGATTTCCAGATCCTGGATCTGGCCAATTTACTGCCACCACACCTCTCCCACAGTAATAATCTGTCTCTCTGCTGCTTTGCCTCACTCAGGACTCCACGGGCGGTGACTGCCTCAAAGAAGGGGGCAGTAGCCCCGTCAGCTAATATGACTAAAAATAAAGCTGAAAGCTTGCTGCATACCTTACCTGTTAGACCACACTATCAGTGTAATGAAATGGGTTTCCTGTGGATTGGTCTTACACCTTTTTCCTTCTGAGCAACTCACCATTGTGAGATGATTTTAAAAAGTAAGAAAAACCTAATGCCCGTTGGGTTTTGCTGTTAAGTGTATTTCAGGACCCCACAGAGGTAACAATCTCATCTTTTATCACACACTTTTATGCTATCCTTAATCTAGCTGATCTCGATTACTGTATTATTATCCAGTGAAGATTGCACCACATCTGATGTTTACACTTCCATTACGCTCTGAAGAAAATCTAAAGCAAATCAAATTCCTCATCTGCCACCTATCACCAGAATACATCTTTTGCCAAACTGAATCAAACAACATTAATTAAGTTTAAAAGAGTAGTGAAAAGATTTAACCCCCACCTCCCCAATCCCCAAACTTTCTTAACAGAAACTGTCCTGGATAGACATCGAAGGAATACCTGGACTCCTTCTGTGGGACAGGTGTTTACAACTGAATTAATAGTACGTAGCACAGTTCCCAGTTTGCATGTGGAGTTCTCTGGATCATGGTGAAAATAAAAATAGTTGCATTGATATTTAACCCTGCCCCACCGAGACAAACGGCCTGCCCTATTTCTCTGAAAACAGTCAGATGACCAGAGGGTGATCTGCAGTGGAGAGGAGACAGCAGGGGATTCTTGGGTCTGTACCCACACTCTGCGTGTCGCACTTACAATAAGTTATGTGAGAGGCCGGAGGCGGCAGCTAGGAACAAGAGGGTTTCACAGGGAGGTGCGTGCCGAGACCCCAGGGAGCGTTGCGTTACCTGTCAGGGGGCTCCGGCTGGGTATTTCTGCGTCGGTGAGCTCTGGCGCTGAGGGCAGCAGGAGCACCTGGCCAGCCGCAGCCAGGCCCGGAGCTCCGGTCAGTCCCCTTTCCAAAGGAGTCGCTGGCATGACTTTCATCCCCACCAGCCAGTCCGTATTTTCTAGGCTGTAGCTACACTAAAAACGGATAATGAGCTTTTCATTTACATGGGTGCTTAGGTCAGGATGAGTGTTCATATGCTCTGTATCAAAGCTAACTACTATTGCCAGTATTTCATGTGGGCATTTTAAAATTTTCAAGGCCAAGAATTCAACTTGACCCATCAACCTTTTAAAAAGTATTCCGATGGACCTGTCCTCCCTGTAGGCAACAGTAATATGAACTGAGACAAACTCTACAGAGGTACAATAGTGAAAAAAGTTCAACTTTACCAAAAATTGAAAAGCGTTCCTTTTTTCCTCCCCAGACTCTCATCTCTAAAAGACCACAACCAATTAACTTCTAACTTTGAAAAATCAAAAAATGCCTGTGACAGCCAGAAATTAAATTCTTTAAAGATCAGGTGCTGGGAGAGCAATATCAGGCTTAGAATGAAATCCTAGTAACACTCTGAACTATTAAGTCACTTCTTGCTCTGAAAATATAATTATTCTGTAAGCATTATGTCAGGCAATATTAAATGTAAAAAGTGTAGTTCCAATAAAACATTGCTGTTTTCTAACAGAAAGACTCTGTCCATAATATTTTCAATGACACAGAAAAAAAAAAGTCAGCCCACAATTAATGAAAAACAATACTACGTTCAAGAAGTAGCATGCTCGGCAAGCACTAACTTTTAGTGATACCAGGCTCAAAACAATACTATTACTGGGGTCAGAAACAGCCCTGAATGTTTACAATCTCTATTTCTAGTCATCTGAGGATGGATTGCTTTAGTATTTCACACCTGATTTTGTAATATTCATCATAGATTCTGATGGCAATTATAAACCCATGGAACATACAGCATTTGTGTGGCGCACAGTCTCCCTCCGTTTATTCATTATAATTTTTTAAAATTTTTTTATTTTTTTTTTTTACTGAGAAATGTCAAACTACACAAGGATTTACCTTAATTCCTACACTTTGCATCGGTCAAGTTATTGCAAGAATAATAACGTTTCCCAAATAGAAAAAAAAAAATGAAAAAGGAGGCAGAGGAAAATCTGCCTATAAATGAGACACGTTTGGATCTTATTGCCTAAATCAAACACAGTTTTAAAATGACAACACAGTATCAACAGAGTAACTTCCATATTTATATTGTCTCTCCACTACCCATAAAAGAGATTTTAAAGAATATAGTGGTTGAATAGCTGCACACGATGCTTGCACTTCTTACCTGGCATAGTCTCTTACTCTGGCTAGCGGTGAGATTGCTGGTTATGTAGCTATCAATTCCACTGATGTTACAATTTCCCTTTCTCAAAGCAGCAATAACCTGTCACTTTACACTGTCCTTTCTCTGACCCTCTCCTGCCTGTCTGCTCATTTTTATTCTTATTGACAAGACTTATTATTCCTCCTCCCAATTCCAACTAGCTACCCTTTTGCAAATAGTAGTATCAACTATGTGGTCACTAGTAGTATAGGTCAACAATGTTATTAATATAGCACACACTGCTGGGAGCAGATCAAACAGCCATGCTTTAAAATATTAGTTTTGCAAAGGTGCCGTGAGGCAAATAGTTGCAGTTTTCTGCACGTTATAAAATGTAATATTGCAAGGATCGACCCCAAGAATTTAGCGTTCATTACCAGCTCAATAATTTGGAGGATATGTTATTTCTTTTCTTGTTGTGTTCATACACAAAATAAAATAAAACCATAGCAGAAGGGTGCTGTATCTGTGTTTAAAGAAGGGGTTGTTGGCAAACACCATAGCTCACTTCTGCCGAAATGTACACAACTGATATATGCAGCCCAGAAAGCTGGCACCAGGGGCTTACAACCTTAATTTGCCTGCAAGAAGAAATGGAGATTTACCTTCAGAGCACGTTCTTGATTGTTTTCAGCAGTCAGATGTCTCGTGTTGTTTGCTGAAGTCTGGTTCTGCTCTTTCAGATGATGAAGCTCCTGCTCCAGCCGTTTGCACTGCAACGAGGAAAGAATTCCATTAAGTAGAGGAGTGTGGGCATATTTTTTTCAACAAGCCAAATGAATTAACGTAAATAACTCCCATCACCATTTCTGCAGTAGAGAAAACATCAGACAAAAGCAAGTTACAATCCCAGATCAGTACCAGAGCTATGTTTTTCAAATGCGCTTCATTATTCAGTTTCTTCCTGGTCCAATTGTATGCCAAAAAAAGCTAAGTTCAGTATCATCAGATAAAGACATTTTGCAGAATGTTTTAAAAAGTCTTAAAAATTACAAAGATGTCAGGTTGAAATTCTGCTCCTAGTTATGCCAATATAACAATGTATTTTGCCTTTTGTATATTAAGCGGATATAAAGGAAGCAATATGTGCTTTTAGAAAAGCAAGCAAATTAAAGACTCTCCTTCCAAACCCAGGACCCAGCCTTTTATTAGAAAATATACATGTAATTTTTTTATATTTGTATTTTTCACGCTAAGAGATTACTTTAAATCCCAAACACATACCACATCTTGAAAGAAAAGAAGCTTTAAGATTGTTTTGTTTAAATATTTAACTTAATGACAAAGAACGAAAAATTTAACGTTTGCTACTGTGTGCATACACATGCATACTTACTGCTGTCAGCCAAACATCTCTTTTAAAGATTAAAGATCTGCAAACTATGACCTAAATTATATTTCATTGTTTTTTATAGTAGCCATATGAGGTCTTGCCCAGTTATCTTGGTTTGAAAGAGTAATTAGTTGTCAGATGACAGTTTATTGTCTTATGAAATAAAATCTGTTTTACCAAAAAAAAAAAAAAAGGCAAAACAAAACAGACAAAGTACCAGGAAGACGTAGGGGAACAACTGTTAGAACTAGGGAAAACCACAATATTAACAGGAACATTTTAAAACAGTACATTACAAGGAAGTAGTTTGGCTGTCACCACCAAAACTGATAGACTCTGTTGGAATAAAAGACAATTAATTGATAAAAAGTATTTTGATAAATACTTTCACACTAGTAAGAAAGGAACGCGAATCATGATATACTGCCCATGTGAGCATTGCTGTCTCAAATGAAAGACCTGGAAACATCAGTGAGTTGTGCTATCTTAGTGACTGTGGGAGAGACAGAACTGAGCTTCCCATCAAGTGTATACAGCCTGTTCCTGAGCAATTCAGCATATAGGACAATTAAATGCGGCTCATATCAACTCTAAAAAAAGAAAAACTGTGAAACAGAGCGCTGTAGGACTGCAAAAATTATAACTGAGGTCTAAGTAAAATAAGGAGTACTACAGGATCTCAAGGCAGAAATTTTAAAGACACACCACCACATACACTTTTTAAACACAAAGTCAGTCCTTAACAATGTCCTGCACATCAGGTATCCAGCATAGTATATAAACCAGAATGATTTAATCCTATATCTGCATAAGTTTTAAATAATTGTAGGTGTCCGACAGTTCTATTAAAAAAATTCCATTCATATATCCGTCGTTGTATTTGATTACTTCTGGTAGAAATCTGGGCTGATTTCTAAAGGATTATTTATTTTAAAGGCAGCAAATCTCTCTGGCCTAGTGCATTCTCTCAGTGTCTCTTGTAAAGTTCCTTAATGCACAGTTTCATTTTTATTGCAAGAAAAAGAGAAAAAGACACTTTCCCATGAAACAGGGAAATACATAAAAAATATTATGATACATTTGATTGCAAATATTTTACAGACTTAAGACATTTAATGTCTCTGTTTATTTCACACATGATATCACAAATCACAGAATCACAGCTGTAATTCTTTTTCCCTGTCCAGCATGAAAATTATGTGTCTGCAGACAGGAAGGTGCTAATAAAAGTAATGAAGAACTAAACCCAGATTATGCAGGTTTTTTTCTCTAGCAGCTTTTTTTCTCTAGCATACATGACCTAAACACCATTTAAAAAAATAAAATGAATCTACTACTTCAGGCATTATCATGACACTTTACACATTACATCATGTAATATTAGCAGGCCTCTCACTTTTCGGTTTTGCCAAACATCTTCTTCACAACAGTGCTTTGGAATTCCCAATTTGACAACAGCACAGGTTTCTTACAGTAAATATTATTAAAAAGGCCAAAATCTCAATCTACCTTTAAAACATGAATTTGTATTCATGCTATTCTCTTGACTCCTAAAGAGAAGTGAAAATACGCTAAGAGCAAACCTAGCTACAGGACTGTATCGAAACAGATCTTGATGTACGGGGCAGGCTGCACAACTAAGGGCATGGGTGCAATCTTATTCTACTCTCCACTTCACTCCTGTGAAGACAGGACAGTGAGATATACAGCAGCAGCGGGACTCCAGCATCACGCAGCATATAGAGCACGTGCGATAAAGATGCCACACAAGTAACATAAAATGGATGGATCTCTCTGTCAAGTCAACCTTGACAAGATTACACTTACATCAATCTTGGTAGCATTTTGTAAGTCATCTTTAATTTCATTTCCACTAAGAATGTTGATATCTGGAAAAAATGGGCATATTCAATCCGCATACTGCTTGAATCCATTTTGAGGGTCTCATTGAAAGAAACAGTGATCTAATTTGACCTTTGCACATAAGTGTCTTAATGTGTTGGAAACAATGTATTAACAGAAAATGTTCTGAAATATCAATCAAGATGTATTTATTCCTGGCTGTCTAGGAAGTAAAATCTTTAATTATTTGGTTTGTGAAAGTATTATAATAATACTCTTAAATGGCAACATTGTGTATGTCTTACTAAATTTTATACTCTGCAACACTTTAATACCTGAACTACTTTTAAAACATTACAATAGTATGCTAAAAGCAAGCACTCTTTTTCACAAGAACAACAGCATATGAAACATCTGTGTAATCTTGCTGTAAAGAAAAGTTTTAAAAATAGAATTTAAAACAATGCAGCCCTTCTATTCATTTGAGTCAACATTTTTTGAATTTTGTGTCATTGGTTGCTAGCAAGGTCCAGTAAAAATAGATGTTCTTTAAAAGAACATGTGTTTTTATTGGTTCACTCCAGGGCTCTAAAATGCCAACAGCTGCAAGTAAGAAACTGGATTTCCTTCTAAAAACATATATAAAAATACTTTTTGGAGCACAGCGAAGAGAAGACATCATCCAATTCAGTACTGGCAAAAAGGAAATGTTGGATGTATCCTTTTAAGAAAGCTGAAAGCTAAAGGAAGTGTTTCATTTTAAATATTATAAATAAGAATGTCTAAATCCTGTTATCCAAAACTTGTGAAAATTCATACTTGGGAAACATTCAAACAGAATCCTCTTAGAGACAAAATATTTTGCACAACACAGGTTGCCTAAACATCTGATCTGAGGTGTAATTGTGCACTTAAATGGAAGTTCCTGCGAATTTAACACTTTATGAAAGATGGGCTGTTAATTGAGAAAACCACTTCTTTACCTCAGATACTTTGAGCACATCAAAGAAAATGAGAGCAGTGTAGATGGATGTCAAAGAGAATATGCCTCGATCAGAATGCTAAAGACTTTGGTAAGTAAATTATATAAAAGTCTCACAAATGGTAATGTCATTTTATAAAGGTTTCACACAAACAATCCACCAAGAATTAGCTTCATCGCACGGTCTGCTGTGTCCATTCAGAGTTCTGCAACCAGAGAGGCAATACTGAAGACACACACACACAAAAAAACCAACACCCAAACCAGAAACAGGTTTCCTCTCTTCTTCCAAACCCTCTTGTTTGTTCTCGTCTCTGAATATATTTCTTTGAAAAAGTCTCCTACCTTAGCTAGCCTCATTCAGGTGATAACGTACTTGTCAGACAGTGAGCCTCTTTAAGCCTACTCCAACCGTTCCTTGAGCAACCATCAGTGCCCAGCTGTACAGTTTTCACTACAACATCATCCATTCCCAGCAATGGGCACTCAATCTTCTCTTTAACCATATTTCCACAGTGCAACCTGGCTGCGCTCTTCTAAACGCACCCAACCATTCCAAACAAATGCCTCTGTACCCAGCAGAGGATATATTGCAAGCAGCTAAGACACAAAATGAAAAGCAAAGCAGGTAACATACCAAAAGGATAAGAAGAGGTTCAGACGGGAAAGAAAGGATAGACAGCAACTACACCTGTTCTCCCTTCCCATCTTCCAATTCCAACCATTAGGCTACTGGTGAGCCTTTTTTAACAAGCATCAGCTAACATGATTCAGCAGATAGAGGATGTTTGTGAGAGGCACCGGTTCAATCCACAGCAGGTGCTGACACCTTTCAGTGACTATGCAGCTGGGAGGAAAATCCAGAGAAACTGCAAAAAGGAGCGCCTGCTAACAGGGATGCTGATGGAGAGGTCAAGAAGTGGACCAGGAGAATATCACTGAGTAAAGTCCTTGAGGCTCACCCAGCAAGAGACTGTTAAAAGATGGTCCTAGTTGCAGGTACACAAAAGGAGTAAAGATAGTTTAGAATGAATTGAGTATTTCAGAAGATAGAAAAATCAATGCAGATAACCACTTAATAGTGTTTGGCCTTTACTAGAAAATGAGGTTGCATTAACATATCAAACATAACTTTAGCACTTGTATAAACAAATCATCTTTAACATGCCGTCAGCTTTTCAGCATTTTCTTCTTCAATTTGTACCTGTAACATGTTAACACAGTGTTACGGTGCCTGCCATGTCTACACAGATTGATGAGTTATTTTTTGATCGTTACCTAACATGACTCTTCGGTGAGGTGTTCCGAAAGTAAAGGTACAGACATTACACAAGAGGAAAGAAAAATCTGCAAACCATTGGAGAAATAACATTACGAGGGACAAAATGGAATACAGCAAAGCATTAACATCGAGCAGAGCAACCCTCCGTCCCCAAGCATTTGGTCCCCGTGCAGTTTGTTTATATGAAGACACCACCTATCCCCAGAGGCCTCACGCAGAACCGTAGTCAACCCTGCGCTACTCAGGTCAATCAGACCGTTCACGTGCTTTCAAA